CAGAAATGCTGCAGTGTGGTAGGACCCGGCTTAAAAGAACTCTAGAAAAATAGCCCCTGTGGAGAAGTATGGCTCAGGCCCCCAGAGAACCAAGGAAGTAAAGCCCCTTAAATGAGATCAGCTGGGACACCATCCCCCATGAGCCTACTGCAAATGGGAAGGAGAGAGCCGACTTAGATCTCTTTAGAAAGAGCCACTGGTGGAGGTGATACTGAACAGACCAGGCCTAGGATGCTGGGCCTGGCTTGATGTCTGCCAGTGTGGGAAACCGACAGCAACTCTTGGACAAGCCAAGTGGTACGTGCCTGTCTGCTAACCCCCATGGCTGGCTTTGCCTCCAAACTGAGCCAAGAAGCGGGAACACTGGAGACAGGCTGGCCATGTCTGGCAGGGCTTTGGCTCTGCCCTGCAGGGGGTGCCATGACACAGGACAGGCTCCTGCCCAGAGCCAACCTGTTGCAAAATCCAGACTCTGGAGATGCTCCTTACCTTGTGTCTGGCCATAGCTTTGGCTGGCTTCTTGGAACCTACATCGTAGACTCAGGGGGTCTTTGGGTATGAAGGGAACAGGCTGAGTCCACTCTTGGCCAGAGTGTTAGAAGGGTGCAGGGCCGAGAGGCAAGGGAAAAAATGTGGTGAAAGCCACTGTGACAGATCTCCAAGGGGAAGGGGAGTCTTGAGGTCCTGCCATCCCTTCCCAGAGCCAAGATCCCCCTTCCACTACTTCCCACAGCTGAAGTTGACCTGAACTAGAGGTGTTCCTTAAAGACGGAGACCACCTGGGATCTCCTCTGCCTGGTTGGTCCCAGAGCTACTACCAGGGTGATCCAGCCAGGCTCCAAGTCCTCTCTGGCCCACCTCCACCCTGTGGGCTGGGATGGTGGAAGCTCCAAAAAGTGGTTTGTTGCCATAAGCTTGAGAAGGATTAACCTACCAGTGGAGGAACCCGTTGCTCACAAGTATTTCATACACCAACTCATTTCAACCTCATAGTAACGTGCAATCAGCAATCTCTGAGAGGGTAAAGATAAATAACTGGATCGTTAGCCTCTTTGGGCAGAGACCGTATTTTATCGCCAATACCTGGCATACAAGAGGTACTCGATCAGTGTGGAAGGAATGAAGAAACGGAGTGGGGCAGCCCGGGTTTAGCGCCTTTGGCCCAGGGCGTGATCCTGGAGACCCTCGTCGGGCTCCCTCCATGGAGTCTGCTTCTCCCTCTGCCTGTGTCTCTTACGAATAACTAAATAAAATCTTAAAAAAAAAAAAAAAAAAAAAAAAAAGAAATGGATGGACTTGTCCCAGGTCATCTGGCAATGGGAGGTGCTGCTGCAAAGGAGCCTCATCCCCGCAACTCCGACCGGGTGTTCTGTCCAGCCCGCCCCCCATTCCCTGGCCTCGGGGTGCCTGCGGGGCAGGGGTGGCTGGAGCACCGAGGACTGCGAGGTGGGGAGGATGCTGTCTATACGCAAAAGGGCCCGGCTACTCTGGAAACCCTGAGGCGTCTTTAGGGTCAGCGTGGCACGGCTTGCTCCCGGGGGGTGGGGGGACTGGGGCCCACGGGGAGCCCTGCGGGACCAAGACGACAGCTGAACTCGCGGCCGCCGCGCCCTCCCCCGGCTCCTCCCCCCCGCCCCGGGAGGAGCCCGGCCGAGCCTCCAGCCCCGGCGGCGGGGAAGGCGGCCCCCAACGGCGCGGGCCCCCACGGCCGCGCAGCGCCCTCTGGTGCCGGGCAGCGGGCCCGGCCCTCCCTCCCGCCCGCTGGCCCCGCCGGCGACGCCGGCTTCCCGCGGCCGCGGCCCCGACCCCGCGCGGCCTCCCAGGCCCGGGGCGGGACGCGGGGAGGCAGGAGGCGGAGCCCGGCGGGCGGGGGCGTCTCCGAGCAACTCGCGGCCTTCGGCGGCTTCCCGGCCCGGGAAGCGAGCCGGGGTCGGGAGGCCGCAAACAGGAAGTCGGGCTGTAACAAAGAGCGCGGGGGGCGCGGGGGGAGCGCAGGACCTCCGGGGCGCCCGGCGGCGGCGGCAGGTGGAGGGCAGACCCGGAGAGCGCGCCGCACCTGCCTTTCCGCCGGGATCCGGCCGGGCCACGGGGCCGAACCGTGCACCTGGGCGCAAGGGAGGGTGCGGCCACCCGGGGAAGGCGCATCCTCTCCCCGGGAAGGGACAGTCACAGCTCCCTGAGTGAATCACTTCCATCCCCTTCCCGGAATACAGCAGGCCACGTGGGACGGAGGGCTGGGGTCGCCGATCCTGCGAACCCAGAACCCACGAGGAAGGGCTGGGAGAGATGCAGAGAGGGGAGAGCCTGTGTGTGGGTCTCCCGCGGAGGTGGAGCATCCATCTACACTGAGTTAGTGGTCTTATTTAGCTTGAGATGGGGGGCTGGGAGGGGGGCCCGGATAAGAGTCACTGTCTTTTTCATCCCTACCTCCTAGCCAGTCTGACCCTGGCACTGAGGCAGGAGAGGGGGCCTTGGTTGAATAAGATGAATAAAGGCATTCCTCGCGTCACAGCCTTTTCCTGACTCACCTCCCCACCCCACAGAGACACCCAGGTGGTTAGCAGCCAGTGGGCCCTGGAAAAGCAGCTGTCCCCAGAGCTGGAGTTCACCATGGGGTCAGATTAGCCTTTAGGCTGGGCACTGCCTCCAGGCTGTTAAGGAGCCACTAGACTGAATTCTCTCCTGAAGTACTCATACAAATTAAGCAGGCACTTGCTAAAGCCCAGAGAGCACTTTTCAGTGCTTCGTTTGGCCTTGTTTCTGCCAAGCCGGGGACTCTCCTGTATACCTGGACACTGTCAGGAAAGTCTTGGGTGCCTGACCTACCACAGGCAGTTGGACCCCCAGGGAGTGACCTCCAGGCTAGGGATGGAGGGCTTTCGCTGGGGCCTGCTCTCACCCCAACCCACTGGCCTAGCTCTGCCAGGTCACTGGAGGCGGAGCTACAAGTTGGAGCTGCCCAACCCTAAACTGTGCTCAGATCCCCTTTCCCCCAGAAAGCCTAGTGGTGGGCTCTCCAGCTCCCTGTCTAGGGGATCAGAGCCAGTGAGTGGGTTTAGCTAGCCAGCTCCCCTCCAAGGCTCTTGTCTGAGGCGCTGGCAGCCCATGAAGCCCAGCACAGCCTGGCCGTGTGGACGTGCAGGCTCGCGGGTGTCCTACCTGTCCCCCACATGGGAGCCTCGTCATCTGCCTTGTGTCCCAGCCCAGTTTCCCCAGCCCCCAGGGCCCGGGAGCCGCTTTCCTGTTTCATTTTGGGCAGGAAGAGTGAGGTCGTGTTGTTCTTCCCCCTGCTGCCGGCTCAGGCTGTGGGAACGGTTCCCTGAATGCTTTCCTGTTTGATACCCTGTGTGTGCAGTGAGGGGAACAGGAGGCAAGAGCAAGGCGTGGAGCATGTGCATGGGGGTGAGTGGGAATGAGCCGAGGTCTCTGGCTCCTATGTCTCTGGCATAAGCTCCCAGGTCGAGGGTGGGCATGCCATGTGCATGTGTCAGGGATAAAGAGGAAAAAGGAGGGCGGGTAGCACAGCATATACTTGGACTCTACAGGCAGCTCTGGTGGGCTTATTTTGCTTTACTGTGGACAGGCTGAGAGCTGGGAGCATCTACTTGACCTTTGTCAGTGGCTCAATTTTTTCATCATTTGCTCTCCGTGGCGTAGGTTTGTGGCTGTAGGGAGAGGACCATGGCCCCCTAGGGACCATCCTGCACCTTACAGGAAGACAGACATCAAGCAAAGACAAAGTGTCTCATTAGTGCCTTGGCCTGAGAAACCTGGACTGGGTGGGCGGGCAGTGCTAGGGGCAGCCCTGGTGGCTCAGTGGTTTAGGGCCACCTTCAGTCTAAGGCGTGATCCTGGAGACCCGGGATTGAGTCCCATGTCAGGCTCCCTGAATGAAGCCTGCTTGTGTCTCTGTCTCTCTGTCTCTCTCTGTGTCTCTCATGAATAAATAAATAAAATCTTTAAAAAGAAAAAAAGAAACCTGGACTCAAGAAAGGCCTCCTCCTCCTCCTCCTCTTTTTCCTCCTCCTCCTTCTCCTCCTCCTCCTCCTCCTCCTCCTCCTCCTCCTCTCCCTGCTGTCTTCAATAAATTCCTGCAGCTCTGGGCAGACCAGGTACCAGACCCTGTACCCAAGTACTCAGCACTCTTGGCCAGCTGCAAGGAGGATAGACCTAAGTTGAGCCCCCCTCCCCCAAGACCAGTGCCCTGCTGGGACTGAGAGAAGAGTAGGTGGGTGCCAGTCTATCTAAAACCCTGCAGTGAAAAAAAAAAAAAAAAAACCAAAAAAACAAAAACCCTGCAGTGGCAGGAGGAAAGACCCAGATGCCATTCTGGTTCAGAGAGCCCATTCTCCAGTAAGCAAATCCTTTTGAAAAGAGGAATGCACGCAAGAGCATACCCCCCCCCCCCCCCCCCCCCCCCCCGCAGGCAGCCCCGGTGGCGCAACGATTTAGCGCCGCCTGCAGCCCAGGGTGTGATCCTGGAGACCCTGGATCGAGTCCCACATCAGGCCCTCTGTATGATGCCCTGCTTCTCCCTCTGCCTGTGTCTCTGCCTCTCTCTCTCTCTGTCTCTATGAATAAATACAAAATCTAAAAAAAAAATTAATTAAAAAAAAGAGCATACCTTCCCCCAAATTCCTGTATTCTCCAAACTGACTAAGGAGCCTGAAATTTTTTTCAGGCTTGAGGAGAGAAAGGGGGAGAGATTCAGGTCAGAGGGCATATCCCCCAAGTTATGGTGGGAGCATAAGGGGGAAAGGGGAGCCACAGCAACCTCAAGCCAGCAGGCAGGGAAGGCTGGCCTAGGCCTGGGGTCAGATGTACAAGGTAGGGCTCTTCAGGGACTAGAAGGAAACAAGGGTTTGGAGCACAGCAGGCCAAGCTCAAGTGCATGCACGGTTCCCTGGGGGTTCTGGCAGGGGCAGCCAGCAGCAATATGAGGAGTCAGAGAGGACAGAGAGAGGATTCCCACTCTGCCATCAAAAAGACAGGACCCGAGAAGTAATAAACTCCTGTACACATCTGTTCCATATTATAAATACACATTATATACAAAATAATGTTATAAAATGTAGAAAGGTCAGTGCTTCTGATTCTTAAATTATTGAAATACTAGACTCCAAAATAAACTACAAAAAAAAAACAAAATAAAAACTCATATTATTGATTTCTGAAGATCGGCTTCAAGGGTGGTCTGGGAGCAGTAGTGGGTGTGGGCAGAGCCCCAGGCTCAAGGCTATAGGGCTGGTTTGAGGGAGGAAAGGGCCACGGTGGCAACAGCACCTGGTTTCTCCCTCACTGGAATTTCCAACATCACTGCCCTGAGCTCCCCGTTAGGCCTGGCTCTCTTGGCTGGCCAATGGGGCGGGCCTTTCACCTGTTTGCTCACCAAAATCCAGAGGCACCCAAGGCTAGAGGCTGTGGAAGCCAAGTAAGGCCTACCAACAGCCTTGCCCAGAGGGCCTCAGCCAGGGAGAAGCTGGAGTGGTGTTAGGAGCAAGGCCCACAGGCAGTGGTCAGAGGCACAGGGCAGAAAGTGCTCCTCCCGCTTTGGACACTCACCTCACCTGCAGGGCAACTCCTGCCAAGAGCCACCCTCAATGGTATCTTGACCCACAGATGGCCCTGCCCACACTGACCTCCTCTCTCCTCTCTGATTTAGACCCAGCTGTTGCCATGGAGCCTGGGCCAAAGGCACTTTTGGAAACACAGATGCCAGTGGAGGCCACAGCAGCTCCAGGCCCTGCAGGGCCACTGCCACTCCCTCTGGAAAAGAAGCCAGATCCCAGAGGGGCACTCAGAAGGCCACTGCTGGCAAGGCAGGTCCCAGTGGCACCTCTCCTCTCTGTTCCCCTGGCTGGTACGGCTGCCAATCTGATGCCAGACAGACACCCAAAGGCGTGGAAGGGTACTGCATCTCTTGGCAAGTTCACAGTCTGTCCAGGTCATGCCATTCCCTCTTCCTCCTGAGAGCAGCACGTTGCATATTAAAAATGTCCCATCCAGGATGCAATGTAAACAATGCAGAAGGAAGATCCAGCTGCTAGGGCAAAGCTGGGATGTGCTGGGAAGGCTCCTGCCTTATACCTGGAGATGACAGGAAAGCAGGGAAGTGGGTTACCCTGGAAGACAAGCACTCCCTCCACGGCTGCCCCAGGGCCTCTCCTAAAGAAGCCCATCAGGCAGGTGGGGTGAAGGGAAGGTGGGGTAGCCCTCCCCAGACTTCTGCCCTATTACACGCACATGCCTGCGAGCCTCTGTTTGTGAAGTGGGCCAGTGGAGGAAGCAGTGAGAAGAGGCAGGAGGGGCATGAGGCAACCACTCTCACCCACCAGCAGCTGGGAAGCAGTGCCGGGGAGCTGGCCAGGTGCCATGGCCACCCAGCCCATCACTAACGCAGCAGGAAGAGCTAGGCCAGCTCACCACCACGGCTCCTGTTTCACACCCTCTGTGGCAATGAGGCCAGCCGGGATCTAAGAGCCCCTGAACCTGCCCTGCCAAGGAGGGATCCCGACCCACCCTTCAGGATGGCCCCTGGGGTCGAAAGTCACCAGGCCACCTTCCCATTTCCGAATGGCAGGAGGGGACATGCTGGAAGGGAAGGTGAGCCCACCACTCACCTCTGTGGCAATGACACATTCGTTCCTCTCTTCTGATATCAAACACACAGACTGGTACATGGAGTCCCTGGGGGAGCATATCGCTGATATCCGACACTCTGGCTTTTCACTGAGGGAACACAAGACAGGCCGGTGAGGGAGGAATGGGAGAGGGCTGGGGGGCAAGCAGGGCACTAACTTAGACCCTGAATGGCCAAAGGACACTGGCCGAGGCAGCTCTGAGAGAAGACACAGGGACTGGGGATGCCCAATGTAGCTTGGGGGGCAGTTAGGAACAGGCCCTCAGCCACAGGCCCCCCAACCTTACCAGGGTCTCAGGCCTGGGAAAAGCCAGTATTGCTACTCTACATAAGCCAGGCCATGGAAAGATGGAAGTCACGGACAGTGTAGACCTTCGACATTTGTGAATGAATGAATGAATGAATGAATGAATGGGAAAGAGGGACAAAGGAGGGATCCCTGGCAAAAATCTTGTTGGAGGAGCCTCCTGTCAGTAGCAAAACCCCATTTGCTTAAAAGCAGTCAAGGGCCTGGTGCCAGCTTTCCACCTGTCCTGGGGAGCCTAGGGAGTACCATGCAGGGCTCTGCGGCCAGGCCCTGGCCTCCAGGTGCTGCTCACCTGTGTAACCGCAGCGGTGCCTTCTCCCCTAAGCTCTTATCACTGTGGGAATACTTCCCCAGCATGGTCCCTCGCCCCAGAGGCCCTGGGGCCAGATTATAGTCCAATGTGTGGTTCTGCTGTTTGCCACAGTTGGACTTATCCAGGCCACAGTCCACTTCAAGCTCCTTCTTCTGGTTTGTGTTCTTGAGCTGGGCGGCAGGGATCAGGTTGTCCTTCTGGAAGTCCGACAAGTTGTTCATGGCCTCCCTGCCACCATCGTCAGGCCGCCGAAGCCGCAGCTGCCGCACAGCCACTGCCACCATGCCCAGCAACACCAGCACCACCACCAGTCCCACACCCAGGGAGACAGCCACCCAGGGGAAGCTGGGTGGCATGCTCACAGGGAACTCGCAGCGGCTGCCCACAAAGCCATAGGGACAGTTGCAGACAAAGCTGTCCGGGGAGAGGCCAGGGTAGCAGGTGGCCCCATTGAAGCAGGGTCCCGAGGTACAGGCGTCGAGAAGTATCCGCACCTCGCATTGCCGGCCAGAAAAGCCAGCAGGGCAGGTGCACACGAAGCCATTCTCCAGGTCATGGCAAGTGCCGCCGTGGGCACAAGGCCTGCGGGCACAGTCGCTGATGTGGAGTTCACAGTGGGGGCCTGTGAATCCAGGAAGGCAGCGGCACATGCGGTTAGGACCGAGGCTCAGGCACCGGCCCCCTGTTGGGTACACATGGGGCATAAGTCAGCAACCACCTGGGAACCCCTCTGGTGCAGAGGGTGAGCACCCCATCAAGGATCCCACCACAAACAGCATTGTACCAGGAGTCAGGAGACCTGGGCTTGAGGGTGCCTCTGGCCTTGTAGCCCTCAGTGAGCACCTGTGTAAGAATGACTAGCATCTTACAGAGCTTCACAGTAGAACCGGACAAGTATGCTTGGGTCTGAATCTCAGCTGTGTCTCAAGCTGAAGCTGATCTGACACTTGTTGCTTTGTCTTATTCTAAGCCTCAGTCTCCTCACTTGTTATATTAGAGTATAATGCTATCCCCTCCATAGGAGATCTCTGACGGTTAGGCTGGATGACGCATGAAGGCAGGAGCCCATGCCTCATATATAGTAAATGGTCAAATAAATGTAATTATCAGTTAACAAAGTTAATGGAGTGATTAGCCAGAGAACAGACTCCATCTCAGCTCTTCTAGCCCCTCCCCTCTCCTGCTCCTGGGGCTTCTCCTGCATAGTGTTGTCCGCCTGCCTCACAGTGGGTCACCAGGAGGCCAAGGAGACAAAGATATCCAGTGTGCTTTGCACCCCAAAAGATGCTGAGCATTTTGGACACCTTGTGCCAATGCCAGGCTCCACGTGGCCATGGGGCAAGGCGAGGCCTTTAGAAGTAGGGCTCTGACTATGCCAGGCTGCCAGGCTCCCTCTAGGAGAGATACAAGGCCTCATATATCCCTTTCTCTAGCCCAGGACTTCTGGGGGAGGCTCAGAGGCCACCCCAGCCAGGAGACGGCTCCACAACATGCGAACAGGATGTGAAGCAGGGTGGACACCTCTCCTCCTCTGAAGGCCTGCAACCACAGCCAACCTGCTCCTCTTCCAAAGCCACCCAGCTGATTATGCAAGCTCTTCACCATCCAGAGCAGGTTGGGACCATCTCAGCCTGGCCAGAGGGACAGACCCAGCCTCTCTCCTCTCCTGACTCTCCCTCACCAGAAGGCTCTCTTAGTCCTAAGGCTGGCCCACCAGGGGAGCGAGGCAACAAGACTCACCATTGGCACACGGGTTGCTGGTACACCTGTCTACTTTCTTCTCACAGTTGGAGCCCATGAAGTTGGGGGGGCATTCACAGGCATAGCTGGCCCCCTGGCTGCGCTCCCGGCAAGAACCCCCATTGAAGCAAGGGGAGTCTGCACAGCTCAAAGTGCTGTGTTCACAGTGTAGGCCATAGTAGCCTGGGGGACATAGGCAGCGGTAGCCATCCTCCTGGTCCTGGAGAGAGACCAGAAAGAGGCAAAGTCAGACCCCAAGACTAGTGACTAGGATGTATGGCGGGGAACCCACCTGCCCACAATGCCTTTCATGGCTGTACCTCCACTGGCCATGCATGTGGGGCCACCTGGGCACTACCTCGCCAGACCTGGGCTGGCCTGAGGCTTACCTTACAGCTGCCTCCATTGCGACAGGGGTTGCTGTCACACTCGCTGAGTTCCAGCTCACAGTCCACGCCAGTGTAGCCTGGTCGGCAGGTGCAGGTGTAGCTCCGCTGCCCGCTATTGGAACATGTTGCCCCATTCTTGCACGGGGAGTGGTGGGTGCAATAGTTGAGATCTACAAAGACAGGGACCAGCCAGCTAAGCAGAGCAGTAGATTGGTCCCTACTTTCAGGCTCCTTGTAGTGCAAGCTCACTGTCCATGTGTGGCCCAAAGCCTGCAGCCCCAAGTCGTCCTGGCCTAGCCACCTTCATTCCTTCTCCAGTCACATATACCAAAGCACCTTGACCCACATCTGCCCTGTGCTACCAACCAAAGTTTAAAAAAAAATACAGTTGGCAGGTGCCTGGGTGGTTCAGTTGGTTAAGCGTCTGCCTTCGGCTGGGGTCATGATCCCAGGGTGCTGAGATCGAAACCTGCATGGAGACTCCCTGCACAGCAGAGAGCCTGCTTCCTCCTCTCTCTCTGTCTGCCACTCCCCCTGCTTGTGCTCTCTCTGTCAAATAAATTTATAAAATCTTTCTAAAAATTAAAAAAATACAGATGGACAACTGCCTGCTAGGTAAGGTCGCAACCACTGGCTGCCAGGGTAGAATGAAGGGAAGGAAGAGGAGCGGATGGATGGCAAGGCCACATGTTGAGGAGGAAGTCACAAAAGGCTTCGTGGAGGAGGGGCAGCTGAGATAAGCCTGGAAGGAGGGATAAAATTTTAACAGGTGGAAATGGTAGACAGGAGGCAAAAGCCATCATCAGTAGTGACCCAGTATTTTTTAAAGGGAAATGCATTATGAGGGTGTTTTGAAATATAAGTATTTGTTTTCTTATTTGGGAAGGACAGGGAGGGAGCAAACACAGCTCAAATATAGAGATTGGAAGGGCTGTGTTTGCATATGATGAGTGTATGTATGACTGTGTCACCTGGGAGCAAATGTGGGGAGAGGAACAGGAACGAGAATGGGCAGGAACCACAGGTGTGTTCTTGTGTTTGGGGTAGGGGAGAGGAGAGAGAAAGCCAGCCAGCCAGCCAGCCAGAGACACACACACACACACACACACACACACACACACACAATACAGGGGCTGAAATCCAAGCACGAATTGTTCCTAGCACGTCAGGGGCTAGGCAAGTTCTTTCCACCCTGGCAAGCCTCCTGCCCACCCTCCTGGGGCTTGTGCCCATGTCTCCATGGCAGCAGCCACCCTATTTGACCCTGAAAATGGGAGGCACGTGCTGCAGCTGGCTACCAGGATGAAAGATGAAGGAGCAAAGGCTTCCTCCCCCAAGGTTGAGGCCAGTAGACCCCTACGTAGCCAGAAGAATGACCAGTCGCCCACCCTGACCGAGAAAGAGACTGTGGGCCCTGGACAGCTGCCTGGCAAGTGCAAGTGGGAAAGAACGAGGGAGGCTATTTCTGCCTCAAGCCAAGAAGTCGGTTAGATGCCACTCCGCCCAGAGGCGCAGCTCACCCATAGCCTCAGGGCAGCTGGTGGGCACACCCCACCAGACAGCTGTTTAGGGGAGAGTTGCTCAAACAGCCCTGGCAGGTAAGCAAACACTTAGGGGGTTAATAGGTAACTACAAGGTAGAAAGAGGAACTGAGCCCTATCCCTCCTCCCAGGCCTTGCTGGAATTTGAGTATGAACTCCAGGCTGCCACCTTGTAGAGCTCCTGGCTTCTCCAGTCACCCTGCCTCCCCAGCACCTGAGCAAGAAGGACTCACTATCTCATTCTAGGCCAATCGTAAGATTCCTTAAAAGCTCCAAGCTCCTTGAAGGATAGTGGGAAAGCCAACTGGGCAGTCACCAACTGGGCAGTGACCACTCTGGTTCCCACTCCCTGCCCATCTGTCCCAACCCTTCTTCATCCTCTCTCTGCCCTGACTCACCCTGGTCACAGAAGAGGCCTCCCCAGCCCTCATCACAGGTGCACTGCCAAGGGATGCTGCAGGTGCCATGGCGACAGCCATTGTGGGGGATGCATTCGTTGCAGAGGCGGCCCTGCCAGCCTGGGCGGCAGCTGTTGAACAAAGGGGAGGCTGAGGATGAGGTGAGGGCTTGGCCAGGGGACAGCTCCCTCCTCATCCACTTCCTGTCCCCTACTCACATGCACTCCGCTGGCTTGCTACAGTAGCCATTCTGTTCATGACAGCCAGAAAGACAGACAGCTGAGGAAAGAAAACAGAGCGGGGTGAGTTTGGAATGCCAAGGACCCTGAAGCCCTGCTCTCCCTGAAGCCCCGCTCTCCCTCTCCTGGCCCTGGGGGGGCCCCAGCTCTCCTGGGCTCACTTCCCACTCCTGGCCTCCCAGAGGAGCCACGGGTGTTCTAAAGGCAACAGGGAAGGAGAATCCAGGCTGAATGGAATGCAGTAATGGGGTCCTTGTGGGCTCTGGCAGGATGGGGGAGGAGCATTAAGAGAGAAAGATCAGAGTCCACGCCTGTCCTAAGCATCCCCACCTGTTCCCGAGGCCCAGCTAGTGGGCAGCCCGGACCTGTTCTGTGAGGGAGGTTAGCTGTGGCTGAAAAGAGGCCACCGTGTTTGCTCCGGGGACCCCTGCCAGATAGGCAGGAGCTTGGCTGCTTACGCTCTTCGCAGTACTCCCCAGTCCAGCCGGGCAGGCAGGACAGGCTGCCATCTGGCTGGCACACGTAGTGGCCGAAGTGGTCATTGCGCTTCTTGCACAGGCGTGAGCAGCTGTCCCCATAGTAGTTGTCACTGCAGATGACCCGGTAAGAGTAGCGCAGCCTCGTGGGAGGGCTGGTCTGCTCATCCAGTAACCAGTTCTTGCCCACAGCTAGGGAGCCCTGGATGGCGATCTTGCTGATGAGCGCGTCTGGTGGCAAGGCCTCTGAAGGGGCAGAGGGCCAGGTCAAGGAAGGGCAGCCAGTCCCCAGGAGTGCCAGCAAGTGCTGGATCAAAGCAGCTGTCCAGATGACCCCCACCTGCCAGCAAGTGCAGGCCAGAGGAACCCAAGTGTCCCCACTACTTAGCTGCTGTGTGTGGGTGTGGGTGTGTGTCCATGTGTAGAAGGCCTGATATCATTCAAAAAGGGGACAATAGAAGGATATTAAGATATCCCAGTGTTCTGGAGGCAGAGAGACTAGGAAAGAGGTCAAAGTGGGGAAGAAAAAAAGGAAAGAAAGAATGAGAAGAGGGAGAAAGAAAAGAAAAAAGAAAAGAAGAAAAGAAAAGAAGAAAAGAAAAAAGAAAAGAAAAGAAAAAAAAGAAAAGATAAAAGAGAAAAGAAAAAGAAAGCCAGGCCGGGGTGGACTCTGAGAGCAAGGGGTCCTTTGGTGCCCATTCACGGGTTCTGCCCTCAGAGATGGGTAATGCTTTTCTTTTTCCTTTTCAAAGTGAGAATTGTTGTGCTGCTGAAATATCCTTTTCCTCTGTGTCAGAACAACATCCCAAAGCCATTATTCCCTTTCCAAAGGAGCGGAATTCGCGAAAGGTGTAAAATACAGGAAGGGGCCCGTCAGCGGCGCTGGCAGCTTCGGCCTTTCTCACCGCCGTGCTCCCCGCGTTCCCACGCCAAAAATAACCCGCAGGAAACGCAATTGTGCTCAGAGTCCAGGCAGCTAGCGGAATCCGAGCGTCCAGCGCGGGGCGCAGCTCCTGGCCCAGCTTAGCGTCCTGCCCCCCCACCCCCCACCCCGCACTTCCCCGCCTAGTACAGGTTAACTCTTTCGGCGCTGCGCCGTGTCGCCCCCCTGTGGCGGCCGAGCGAGCTACTCACCTGGCCGCAGGTCGTCTCCTGGCGCGTGCCAAGCTTCGATGATGAGTGAGAAGGTGCCCTGGAGGCCAAGGGAGGGGGCCGGGGAAGACAGAGAGAGAGAGAGAGAGAGAGAGATGAGCAGGGGCGGGGGAGGTGGGGGTGCCTTGCGGCAGCGGGTTTAATTAATCTAATTGCAGGATACAGTTACAGCTCCCGGGTCAGCATAACGGGTCTGCGCGCAGCATGGCGCGAGCAAGGAAGGTGAGAGAACCCAAGAGATGGGGGCCTGTTAGCGAGAGTCATTCCACGGGGGCAAACGCGCCGGGGTAGTAAGTGATGAAAATCACATCCCGAGTGGAGAGAAGAGAGGGCATAGAACTGAAAGAGGGAGACTGGTGGTGAGAGCTTTCCTGAGGATGAGGTCCCTGGAGAGAGTCGGAAGAAAGTATCAAAAAAGAGCGCCCCTTGTTTTGTTTTTTGTTTTTATTTGTTTGTTTTGTTTTGGTTGGAAGCGAGGAAATCTGGGGGGAGGGCTTTGGTCCCAGGGAGCCCCCTTCTCTCTTTCGTGACCTCCCAGTGCACCCAGGCTGTGCTCACCGGCCAGGTGAAATTGAAAGGCAGTTGGAGAGGGTTGCGTCCCCCGCCGCTACTGTCGTCCCCGACGGCGAAAGAGTTGGTGCCTAACACGGGCGTAGAGACGCTTCCGAAGGTGCAGCGCCCGGGCGAGACGACCGCCTGGAAGTGCTTAAGGCAGACGCGGAAGAAGGTCCTGCAGCCGGGTTCGCACGGCCGCCCGCTGGCCAGTACGCCCCGCTCGTTGGCAAACTCCTGCAGCTGCAGCTGGAAGACTCCGGAGCAGGCTGCGCGCTATTGCACAGGGACCGAGGGAAGGAAGGAGGGGAGCGGTCAGCTCGGCAGACGCCCGGGGCTCAGAGCGCGGTGGGAGGGGGTGGAGGGGGCGCGGGACGTTACCTGCTGCCACAGTGCCACCAGCAGCAGTAGCGCCCAGCCAGAGGCGCTACGGGACGCGACTGCCATCCCCTGGAGCGTCGCTCTCTCCCCGCGCCCGCCCTGTAGCTGGCTTCGTTCGGGACGCCGCTTTCCCGCGCGTCCGTCCGCAGGAGGGGTCCCTGCAAAGCCGGGCTCTTCTGGGGCTTTCCTCCCGCGTCGCCTTCTCGCTCGTTCTGCTCCAACTGCGGCGGTAGGTAATCCAGGTGAGGCCGGCTGGGCGGCGGCCGCGCTGAGGACGCGTCCTCGGGCTAATCCTGGGGCTGCAAGCGGGCCAGTGCTCGGTACACTGCACTGAGGCGGCTTGAGCTGCGGCTCTTAGCCTCGTGTTCCCAGCTTGCGCTCTGCGCCGCTACTGAAACCTGCGCGCTCGGGAGCCTTCCTTATATATATTGGCTCCTCTCTTCGCCGCCTGTCACTCAGAACCCATGGTCACTCTCCCCTCCCCTCCGGGCCTCTAGCGCTACAGCCCCAGCAGGGCCTGGAGGGGGCCTCCGCCCCCGCCACCCCCAGTCCCCGCCAGCCAGTCACGCACGGGTCCCCGCCCCTCGGTGCAGCTCTCAGACCCTGGGTCCCCTAACTCTGCGCATGTCAAGGTGACCAGTTCTCCGCGACAGAGGGGTTACGGTCCGAGACCCCGGCCCTGGGAGGAGGGGGAGGGCCTGGGGGAATGGGGCGGGAGGTGAGCGAGTGGTTCCCGGATGGTCGTGGAGGCGGAGACACTGGGGAGTCCCCGTGGGCGGTACGTCCGCGGCCGGAGCTAGTTACCTTCAGCCTTCGAGCAGGTAAAAAGAACCTAAGCTCGGAAAGCGAAAGCAGTGTCGAAGGACTTGGATCTCCTTCTTCCCCGAGCCTTGAAAGCTGTCGCCACCGCAGTTCCCAACCTGTGAGCGCCCACCCACCTCGCGTCCCCGGCGCTACAGAGAAGCCAGCGGACGCTTTAACCTCTCTGTGGCCACATTGCGCAAGGCGAGAGCCTCGAGTCTAAGACTCGGGGGCTCCCTCCCCCCTCCTGGTGGGCGTCTCCCTCCCCCCTCCTGGTGGGCGTCTCCCTCCCTAGTTGCGGGGGGCGTGTCCAGCGCGTGCCTTCTCCCGTCTGCCCCAGCCTGGGCTCGACTGGTGCCAGCCCCTAGACGCTGGGTCCGGGAGATGGGGGAAGGGGGCGTGGTCCCCGAGGTAGGAGAAGGGGGGCGCGTCCTCAGCTGTATGGTAATAAGGGTCTGGCCCCTCCTCCAGCGCCTCCCCTCACCTGGGTTCAGCTTCAGCTCCACTGACCACCGTCTCCCCCCACCCCGGCAGCCCCAAGCCCCCAACGCGTCCTGTCGCTCCGTTGGGGCAGGGAGGAACTCTCCTGGCTCCAGCGTCGGTTCAAGCCACTGGAGAGCCCTGGTGAGGGGCCGAGGTCGGGCAGACCCGGGTCCTCTCCTCATGGGGAGGACATGTAGGGTGGAACTGAAAGCGCGCGGACTAGTTTGGGTTTCAGATGGCTTCATCCGTCTCGCCTTCGCAGCTCCCCCGGGTGGCCCCACTTCTCCGAGCGGCGGCAGCTGCTTTCCCGGAACCCGGCGTGATCCCCAGAGGCCTTAGACCAGGGAGGGCCGGCTTCTCCCAGTCTCGGGGGGTGCCGGGGATCTCTCTCTCTGCGACGCTGAGGGCGGCGGGGGCCCAGTAGCTTCAGCTGTCAGCCGGCCCGCACAGCGATGGCTGTCGTCGAGCGATAAGATCGGCGCGCGGGCGGGGGGGGGGGAGCAGCGACGCGGTGCGGGCCCGGGGGAGGCCTAGAGGGGGGTGAGGCGCGGCAGTGGAGCACAACAGCTGCCTAGGCAGCACGGTCTGATTTTTTTGACTTGGGAGTGGTGGTGGAAGATTGGGGGGAGGGATGAGAAACAAGAGGTTGGGAGCGTGGGTTGGGGGAGGGGCGAGATGAGGAGAAGGGCTCCGGGGTCCCCCACGCACGGCCACCCCTCCCAGCCACCATCTGGCGCGAGCGGGGTTGGCGTGGGGAACCGAGGTGGGGCGGGGGCCGGCAGATGGGCCCAGGCTGCGCTCCAGAGTTAATGTAGGTTATGGGCAGGCGGAGTCCCCAGGCCCGAGGGAGGGGGGCCCAGGGCTTGCCTCACAGCGGTCCTGACAAGTGGGTTCCGCACGCTGGCTCCGCCCAAACTCTACGATCCCTAGACTTGCCTAGGGTGCCAAAGAGTGTCCCTCGCTCTCCTCTGCGCTGGCATCCTTCCCTACCTAGTTCTGTCTGCTTCCACCTCCAAATCCTGGCCTAGGAGTTCATAAGAACGCTCTCCTTTTCTGGCGCTTGCACTTGCCTGCCTCTCAAGGGAGACATCCAGTCCTACAGGATGCATCTTGCTCAATACTGGTAGATCTGAAACACTCTCTTACCCCTCTTACACATCCTGACTAATGTGTCCAAACGCACTTTGCAAACAGTTAAGGACCAAACAAAAATATTATTATCCTCAGAGACCTAGAAATCCTTTTGGAGGAGGAAAGGGTTAAATTCTCCTCATCATCAAAAGGCAATTATGAAGCATCTATTTGCTACCTGGGCCCTGTCCCAGAAGTTCATTATCCTGCTAAGATGCTAGCTGGGCCCTGAGTACCCACCAGCGCTCCAGTCTGCTGGAGTCCCTCTTTGCTCTCATTTGCTGAACAAGAATAGGTCCCGCTGGGGGCCCAGAACTGAAATGCCAGTGTCCACAGCTGGAACTCCTCCCTTTTACTCCTATTAGAGACCAGAAGAACCCAACATGTGTCCCGGGGGCTACCAAGAGCAGGAGGCTGTGAGGCCATTGGAGGCCGCAAATGACAGTGGAGTTGGACCCACCTGGACACCTGCTGACCCTGCCCCTATGCAGACGCTTGGGGATGCCCTAGAGCGGGAGCAGGGATGCAAAGTTCAACTGACCTGGACTACCCTGGATGGACTGTGGGCCCTCTGAAGGTCCACGGGTCCTCATCCCCACTCACACAGACAATGTCAGGAGTGGAGTAGGTTCCAGGCCTGGCTTCATGCAAGGCCCACAAGCCTCCCCTGCCAGGGGCCTTCTGCTTCTGTTGTTCTCTCCTCCTGGCCACTGCACACAGCACCCCCGCAGGCAGAACCCGCACCTGGGGCCTTAAAGAGCCAAGGTTGTCTTCCAGCCTCGCCCCTAAGCCGACCTCGGGTCGTCAATAGGCTTACAAGTGGGGCCGCATAGAGCCTCGGGACCCCTCCCCCACTGAGTAGCCCACCCGCCCCCTGCCCCGTCCCCCAGCCCGCCGCGCAGCTCCGTGGCTTCCAGCGTCGTTTCGCCCACCCCCACTCGCGTTCTCCGCTGGGCCGGCGGTGGGCCAGGCAGGAGCGCGGCGGAGGCCGGCCAGCGAGCCTCTCGGGCAGGCCGGGGCGGGGGAGCAGGCCTGGCTGGGGCGGGGCGCTTAAGCCTTGAGGGGCGCCGCTGCGGTCGCTGCAGAGAAGGGGCCACGTGCAGGGAGCCGCGGCCCGGGAGCTGCACAGAAGGCGGGGAGATTTGCAAACTGTTGCTGCCACATGGCTGCTCCTTTCGATCCATTCACATTGAAATGAGGCCGGCGCGTGCCTCATCTGCCGCAGGGCGCTGCCACGCGTCAGCCCGGCCCGCCGCGTGCCAACTGGGGCAGTGGGGCTGGCAGGGCCTGCCAGCCGTGGGGGCGCAGCCCGGGCCCTGAGGCCAGGAGGGGGGAGGGGAGGGAGCCGAGCTCCCCTAGCCGCTCAGGCGCCGCAGTTTCGCGGACCTTGGCCCTGCAGTTGGGAGCCAGCCGACGAGAAAGGACCGGGATGGACGGGTTTCGGAGGGGGGCCAGGATCGATGCCGCCGCTCCCCGCAGATGCGCCCCGGCAGCGCTACTCTCCATCTGCCGCTGCTCGCACCTGCCGGTCAATAAATCGATTTTACAATTTAATGCAGCAGCTTCCCGCCCGCCTGGGACAGATGCCGCCGCAGAACCACCTCCGCCCTCACCCCTCCCCTTGAGGGGCGCCAGCGGTTAGGGCAGGGATTCCCGCTCGGCAGGCGGTGCCCCGCGGAGCCTCGGTCACCTCTTTCTCGAGTCCCTACGAGGAACTGCCTGCTCAGGGTCTTTCCCGCGGAACAGAGTGGGTTTCCCATAGGACAGGCCAGAGACTGGTGAAGGAGTAAAAGATGATGACTTAGTGGTAGCCTTGAGGACTCATCTGGGGCCTTTATGGGGGAACAGGATGCAGTGGCTGATGATAAGAGAGATGTGAGAGCCCCCGTGAGGAGAGAGGTGTAGGACCTGGGGCATGGGCGCGAGAGACACTGAGTCCTGAAGACTCTGTGATAGTGATGTCTGGAGGGTTGAGCTAGAATGGAGCCTCTCCTCAGTGCCCCCACTGGCTGAGTCTGGTGAATAAACATAACATGGACCTGGCTTTTGGCACTCCTCAGCCACATAGTCTTGAGGCCTTGGGGCTTTTGTTTTATTATCATCATTATCATTATCATTTTAATTGGGGGAAAGGGCAAAGAGAAACTCTAGCAGGCTCTAGCTCAGCTCCCCCTCATTCAGGGCTCAGTTTCACTACTCTGAGATCATGACCTGAGCTGGACACTTAATCAACTGAGCCACCCAGGCACTCCTAAATTTTATGTTTAATCTCTATACCCAATGTGGGACTTGAACTCACAACCTCAAGATCAAGAGTCTACAGGCACCCCTCTTGAAGCTTGTAGTCTAAACCCCTGGGTTTTCTCATCTGTGCAATGGGAATAATAATAACAGTAACTTGGGAGGGTGACTGGGGGACTATATCTGATTACACATTTGCAGAGCTCAATAAACACTAATTTCCTTTCCCCCAGGTGACAACCAGGGGCAGACTTGGAGTAGAAAGGAGATCCCTGACATCAAATGAGGTGTAAGAGGAAGGCGAGGAAAAAGGAGAGCTGAAAGCAAACAGTGTAAGGGAGGAAAGCCAGGTGGATCATGGAAAGGAGGAAAACCTTGACTGTGAGGGCCTTTTGTGGGAAGGAGATAGGACAAGGTTCTTGGCTGGAGAGAGAAGACTGGAGCTTCGGGAATGGGTCTGGAGAAGAGATGAAGGGTAGAAGAACCAACTGCCTGTGGCCTTGGCCTTCCAGAGATGACTCTCCTGCCAAGGGTAAGTGTAGGTCTCAAGATGGCACCCCTCCTTCTTCCTGTGGTGTTTCAGAGTAGAGGTGTGTAAGAGGAAGGAGAAGTCAACTTCTGAATTGCCTTGGTCATTGAGGCTCCTGGTAGCTCAAGGGACTCAGCCCTCCCTACATCACCAAGAGGGCTGGACTGTCCACTGGCTGGCTGATGGTT